ATGTGCAGCCTTTCAAGCAAGGCTTTATTCGGCCAGGACAGGTGAGATCTCTTTTTGTCATTTCTTATCGTTATTAATAATTTTTTCCCGCGTACACATTTTAATATTAATCGAACTCAATTCTCGCAATTCAGACTTAATAATCTTCTAATATTTGCACGCAGGTGCAAGAGTGCAAGCCCAGCCACGAAGTATGTTGTACCGTGCAATACAATGTGTATTATCCGTTCGATATCGATCCAATTAATGCGGTGAAGGGCAATCAGTATCCAAAACCTACTCTGGAAAATGACGAGAAATACGTTCCATTCGGAGATAATAATCAGGCAGACGTGACCGAATTATTGAAGCCTCCGTTAGAAAACAACATTGTACTGCAATCCCCATCGGATAATAGATTCGATGTCGAGACTGCTAATCAGCCTCATGTCAACATAAGACCGGCCGAAGAGATACCAATCGATTACAATCATATACCCTCCGATACGAATCAACAGGAACAATATCAAATAGGTATGCGATAACACTGTTAGTCTCTATCTTCTTCAATATTTCTTCTTTTTTCTTTGTATTAATATGGATTAGCATTGTAGCTGATAGTAGTGCTAGCGAACCAGCCTTCCCATTAAAATCAGCCCCTACGAACCCGAATCCCGCGGTCTTCCAATTGACGATTCACATGGGATGTGCGGCCGCCCTACTCTGCGTAGAAGAGCAGTACTGTACGTTAGAAGGAACGATTAGTCCGCAACCAATTGCGCTTAGCAGCAAGCAACTTCTACGACGTGTTCCGTTAAGCGTAAGCAGTATAAAAGACACTTTAATCAAAAGACGTTTTAAGGTTTTCCAATTTTTTCCCACATAATATGAGGAATTGAATTGAAAAGTTTATAATTAATATGTAAACATTTCTGAATTTTTTTCATATTTTTTGATTAAATAGTTTTCTTTAAATAATTTTCTAAAATAGCTAAAATTCTTATAAGAAAGAGAGGTTTAATTAATATAATTGTAAATAAAATATACAAATTTTGAAGAGTTATATAGATATAAAAGGATGGAGTTTAAATAAGAACATTTTGTGAAATTAAAAAAATAAAGTTTTAGCGTATCATTTTTGTGTAAAGATATAAAATGTTCACGAATTACTTTAATTACTTTACTTTAAATATGATGTCGCACTAGTGAAAACGTGGTAACGTCGTTTTCATTAGAATTATCAATATTCAAATATAAATAATTACTATAAACAATTTTTCTTCGATACTTTTCCACATAAATATTTATTTTTATTATAAAGATTTTTAATGGAAAATTATAGTTTTATTGCTAAAATTTTATTCATTATTTATTCTTTAGAAGATGACAATTACATTTTGCATCCTTTACACTTATACTATTGTGTTAAGAAAAGAAAAATTACGTGAATCCTTTCTTTAAACTTTTTTTAAACTGCAGAATTTCCTTAATTACCGAATCGAAATAATTTGAAAACACTTGTTTGATATTACTGGTACAATTATACATGTTTCAGATAATTAATAATTTGTAATAATTGCCGATAATAAAAATATTCCAAATAGTCAAATAAAGATAAAGTGATTAAGAAGAATAGATTGGATCGCATGATCACGAGTCGTTCGTTTCGCAGAGCTGCAGAATCTCGGAGACCGGAGCAACCGGTAAGTGTTGCCGCGATCCGAACTACGTCGATCCATGGCCGACGGGCAATTTGCCGGCCAACTACACTGGTGGCTTTGACGAGCAAGGTTTCCCGACGTTCTTGAACATTGCGAAGGTACAACCGCCGAAGAAGCCGATCACTCAGCCACCCATCAAGATTCCCAGGCCGCCGATCAAACCATCTGTCGTGCCACCGCAGATTCATGAGCAGTTTCAGCCGACGAACATCGTGCCTCTGATACCGGACGATTCCGACATCATCCCGCAACGCGTGTTACCAATCTCGACTCCGATCCCAATAGTGCCTCCGATCAGCAGCCCCGCGCCGTTCAATACTCCAAGTGACCCTCCCGTAGTTCCGGAATTGCAGTTGCCCAACAATCCATGTGGAGTGAGAAATTACGTAAGTATCTCGATAGAATTACTCTCGTGAGAATAATTTTGCTTAGAGACATTTATAAATTATGTCTTATAGTACTTTTAGTATTTAATTGTAGTAATAAAAGGATATGCAACTCGAAAATTCTAACATTACGAAAGTGCTTGAAGATGATTTTATTTATAATATGAGATTGGATATTTTATTTATATATGTGTATAATAAAAGGAACAACGACCGACCGGCTTCAGAGAAACCGATGCGGCATTCGGAGAGATTCCGTGGCAAGCGATGGTCTTGTGGTCGGAGGAACGTAAGATTTTGTGTTCTGGTGCTTTGATATCATCAGATATCGTTTTGACAGCTGCTAGTTGTGTAAACAGGTAATTTTCTTAGGTTTATTGCCCAATTTCTTTATCTCCAGATAATTTTATCCAAAAGATATCTCCTGGATAATGTTATCCGCAACTTATCTGGAAGTGAAGAAATTGAGCATTAGTATTATTGCAATGCAAATTTGATTTAAAATCTATTATCTTTTTATTGTTTTAATATTTTTTGAAAATTTAAATGTTTCTATTCAGATATTGCCCTGACTGCGTAAATAGATACAATAATTTACTTTAATTTTAATTTTAAGCGGTTTATACCTTGTCCACAACCTTGCTTTAAGAGGCCGTAAGCCGTAAACTGTAAGAAATTGACCAATCACAGTCGATTATTTTTCTCCTTTTCAATTGTGATTAGTCAATTTTTTAAGACTTTACGGCTTACGGCTTCTTAAAACAAGATTATGGACAAGGTATTAGTGTTATTGCAATGCTTAAATTTTATTAAAAATCTTTTATCTTTTTACTCGTCGATTTTTATACTATATATGAGCGCGCTTTAATTCTTTAAAATTCAAATATTTTCTACAAATTTACTCTTTAAAACTATTAGAGTGAATCTTATGCTCTTGAAGAATGAAATCTCACTCTTAAAGATTAAAAAGCTCTCTTTTTCAAAACTAACTAAATTTTTACTCTTTAGAGTAAGATTCCACTCCATATAATTTAGAGAGAGAGTAAATTATAATACATATTAAATTATAAATAGAAATCTGTCGCGAAATATAAATCGTGTAGAGCGAACTTAAAGCAAAATCGAGAAACATTATTTATCCTTTAAGAAAATCTTGTTTTCTTATTTGCTTACTGACATACCTTTAGATCCAATTTCACTGTTGATTCAATTAAGCAATTAAAGGCATTTTTTTTAATTTTCTCAGATTCCCGGCGAGTGAACTGTCGGTGAAACTCGGAGAATGGAAACTGGGATATGAACTTGAACACGAGGAGCCGCTGCCATTCCAAATTATCAATGTACGAACGATTAAATATCATCCTGGATACGTAGAAGGATTGCCTGCCAACGATACTGCTATGCTCTTTTTGGAACATCCCGCGGCATTTAATTTGCATATCAACACGCTATGTCTTCCTGATAACTATCAGGTGCAAGAAACTTCGCAATGCATTGTAACGGGTTGGGGCAAGTCGATACTGCAAGGTAATGACGTTTCTATCGCTTAAAAGAAATATTACACTTGATAAACTATGCTAAAGATGCGTGACAGAAGCAAGTAAAATGAAATAAATTTACATAAATGCAAATATTGCTATTTCAGCTCATTACGCGGGTGCTGTCATGCACATGGTTGACGTGGATCTTCTGACGCATGACGTCTGTCAAAATCGCGTCTTGGATGCGGAATCCCATATCAATGTCGCACATAATATAATCTGCGGTAAAGCACATGAAAAAAATAATATGTGTCAGGCCGATGTCGGTGCTCCATTGGCTTGTTATGACGGTAACGGAGCCTACCATATCGCCGGAATTTACAGTCAAGACACTGGATGTTTGCCCACGAATCAGGTAAAACTAATAAAACTAATTTTACAGCTACAATTTTTTACAATATATTTCGTATTAAAATAATTTAATTCACAGTCATTAAATATTTTACCCTATTTTATTTTTCCAAGAACTATTAAATAATAATTTTATTACAATACTAAGGAAATACAAATCATTTTTTCTCAAATAACATAATTTAGCTTTGCTCGATGGACTTTATTTAATCTTTAATTTCTTTATTTAATCTTTAATTTCTCTATCTACATGTGTCGCACAGTTTATCCGTGTTACCAAAATACATTTATCACTCTTAGGGATGCAACTATAGCATTTCAGTTGTTAAGAATTACAGAATAGGCTTCTTACGTAATATTTTACGGATTCTTCGATGCTTGTTTTAGGTGGCGACATTCACACCCATTGACATCACTTGGCTGAAACAAACTATGTATGCGCCCGATCCTAAAATAAACGCTAGTAATGACGGTTACGATTATCGAAAGAGTAATTTACCAGCGGGTAACGAATATTTGCCACCAGTGTAAAGGTAAACGATATTCATACTGTTGTATAGCGTATTTCTTTTTTAATACTCACGAATGGTAGGACGAGGAAGACGGGCGCGACAGACGCAATCGTATAATACTCGATTTAGCGTAATGCTGCAGAAAATAATTGGTATTGTTTAATCGATTTCATGCTAAGTCGCGAGAAAGAGTCGGAGAGCAATCATCGGGAGACTATTGCAGATAATTGTTGCCGATAATAAATATAGACTAAAAGTACTTTACGCTCCGCTTTCAAGTGTTGTTATTCAGAATTTTCATAACATAGGAGAATGCGATACAATAATAGAAATCTATTAAAGTGTAAACAGAGCTCGAGAATCAATTCCATGACGTATGAAAAACCAGGTGTAACAATATAATAAATAACAAAATACAATTTAGAGCAATATAATTTCTATAATTAGTGAATAGCGGCTTTATATTAACTTATAAAATTTAAGGCCAATTTTTAATTGGTCACGAATGTTATTACTTTAAATAACGGTACATCCTTTAAATTACAATAGTTCACCTGATCTTTTTACATTTGATTAATTCAGCACTGAAACAAGAGAACTCTGAGCAATTGTATGACAATAAAAAGAATACATAAACTCTTAGATTTTATAGGTGCAAATATATTTATTTGCCTGGTGTAATACAAAAATAATATAAATGTGTCTGTACATAATGGAGAACATCGTATAAACGTATGCTTCTGCAAGTAAGATTAAGATACGGGGGAAGAACTATATCTGTCAAAGAATTATATTACGTTTAATAAATATTTGTTAGAGAATATCAAAGAGATTTGTATATAAAAATGCAATCTCCTTTATTTACTTCTCCTCAATAATACCTTTATTAAGAAAGACATGTAATTATAGGTGCTTTTCATTGTTGGAACACAGTCATATACTGTGTGATATATAATATTAATACACAGTGTCGATTTGTAGCTGAAATACTGATTAGTTTTTCTATTTCACCATCAGAGTGAAATGAAGAAAAATATCTTATACACACGTCCGAATATATTCGAAACTTGAAACTTCTTATCAGAGTATCACTCTTAAAAAAATAAGTGGTAATGAAATGTAAAAATTTGGTATTCATGAAGTGATATAAATAACGACATCGAATACAACATTTTAGTTGTGTACGGTTGTATCAACTTGTGTCATAATTGGAAAGCACGGAATCGTACACTGTGTTACGCAGTATCGCCTGTAAACATTGTTAAAAACTCCTTTATGCGTGTCTTCTTTAATAAATTCCTTCACGAAGATATAATTAGAAAAACTAATATATAAATTATATTTATTCCTAATTAATATATAATTAATTAATTTTTTTCGAATACGACAAACTGTTATAATTTCCATTTAACATTTCCTTCACAAAACGCACAATAAATATTACTGTAGCGACAACGATTGCTGCGCAAAATAGAAGAAATCCGATAACATCGATAAGGGATAATTGCCACCAGGTTAAATCCAGCGCAGGCGATCGCAAACAATCCTCACCGTACTTAATGACATACTCGACCCAATAATTAGCAGTGTCTACAGCGTCCAATGGCTGATCGAAGAATCGTTGAGACAATTTCCGCGCAGATTCTCTGAGAGATAAATAAATTATAAAAATTTATTCAATTGAGCTATCGTTAAAAATAACAAAACATAGATGCATACAAATTTAAGAAAACGTTTGAATACAAATATTATATAGAATATAGGAATAAGAATATATAGAATGTAGAAATAAGAAGATATGAAAGAACACATGAGAATAAATAATTTACAATTTACAATTTACAATTTAATATATAATATGTATTTAGAATTTCATTATATACAATGAAATTCTAAATACACATTATATTTTATAATTATATATAGCAATATAATTCCACGCAATTATTTATTCTCACTTTATAAGTTTATTGCTTGAATTTTAATAGTCCATTAGTAGTAAATTTTATCGCGCGCGCGCGCGCG